ACATTATCATATGATAATATCATGAAGTAATAATCATTTAGATTACAATACAGATACATTCACAACAATGGAGAACAACAACAAGTAACTTCTCAGGTAACCAGCTGTAAAGGTGAACCAAGTGTGCCGCACAAGTCTTGAAAAGTGAAGCCAACACAGTTTGATCGCCCCCAGGTGGCTGGCCCCAGTATAGGTCATAAACCTCTATTATAATGGGACCTCTAATATAATGGGACGTGAGACAAAGTAAATAATTACATTTGACTTAAAAAAAAAAAAATTTCTAAAGATGGTTTTTGTCATTTTATGTAGTTTTTATCATGCTGATGTAAGTTCAAGTGTTTTCTTTTTTTTTTAATAAGTCTGGGTTTGGTTAGTTCTGTGATGCTATGAAAACAGGGTGTGACGTAATGATTGACAGCTTCTCTGAGGGAAACTGTGATTTTATTGGATTGTGTTTTACGAGGAAATACTATTTAACATTTAACTTTTTTTTTATACATTTTATGCATTTTTTTTTTTTTTAGTGTGCATGCAAAGTACACCTGTATAGTACAGAAATAGACCGTATAAATAATGTGAAGTATAGAACTTAAGGGAAAATAAAAGTGTTAACGTCAAATACGAAAATAAACATATAAAAAATAAGATTAAAAATCGAGTAAATGGAAATTAATCTCTTTTCATCACAAGGGATATTGTTTTGATGAATAGCTTGCATACTGTACAATATTAGCATACAGTGTCTCTGTAACATCTCAGACTGAACACATAAGGAGCTCATAAACACATTCACTAAAAACTAATTCTTGTTACATAATGTGGCATACATGAGTCAAAATGAACAACTGATCTGGGGAGTGTCCCAAAAGCATGGTTAGCTAACTTTGGTGGTAAGCTCCATTGAACTTTATTGGTAACGACAGAACTTGTGACCATAGTTGCTTTTGGGAAAAGCACCCCTGATCTGGGAGCAATGAATGTAAATCAGAGTCAATAATGAGCTCTGGGGGTGAACTGGAGGGACTGCAAAGCTGAATGTGTTCCAGCTTATACTCCAAATCCAGCATAACAGTCCATCAGATAGAGTGCAACAACATTAATCAGTCTATTATCACTTCAGCTAAATCACCTGTGGATGGGCTTTATTCTGAACTTGTTTTTAAGATATTTTACTCTCATCACATGGCTTCAGCAGTTGTGGGTGTCATGCTGAACTCTCTGTGTCCACTAGGGGTCCGTAAACACCCGTTTCATTTCTGTCTTCATGCAGCACTTTGTTTAAATCTATATTATTTAATGCATGTGTCTCTGCTCACGTGCTGTGAATTGAGCTCATGCATTCTCATGTCTTCACTCCTGACATCTAGAAATGTCTACATTAGTAGAAAAAAAATATAAATTACAACTTACATATCAAATGTAATGTCAGCATGAAATCCAGAATGACCCTATTTACTGTTTTAATGGACATTCATGGGTTTATTGTGCTGTTGATAGTTAAATATTGAGTGTTCAAATCACTAAGTGTAACTATGAGCAATAATAATAGTGATGAATGACTGAACTGGTGGTTGAGGAGATGCCCTCTTCTATGTAAAGCACTTTGAGTGCCCAGAAAAGCGATATATAAATGTAAGGAATTATTGTTTTTATTACAATTATTATTAACAAACAGCAGTAAATATGCTAATCATTTCACTCTTGGGAGTAAACAACTAAATTAATGTCAATTTTAATAATTAATGCAAGCCTTGGCCCTCTCATTAACCCATCACATGAGATGCTATGCTTTAATTATCTGACCAGTAGAAATCACTGCTGATTGCGTCTGTTCATTTGAGACATTTTCATTAATACCCCTATATAGAGCCCAGAATTAGGATGCTCAATAAATCAGTGATGACTTGATGACTGTAGTTTAACTCAACAAGTAAGCAGATAAACTCAGCTTTCGGTTCCAGAAACAGAGGTAACTCTCAGGGTATGAAAGCAGCCAGAGCAACTTATTCTCTGAACATAACCTGTCTTAACCAGGAACACACTCTGAGTTGACTGAACTTACTCCGTGAACATACTCTGAGTTGACTGAAGTTACTCCCGGATGAGTTTTTGGATCCAGCAAACCTCGAGTAAGCCAGGTTTGGGTTCATCAACGGAGAGTTCAGGGTTTAGCAGATGGTACGTTAACTCTGTTTTCTGGAATACAGCCCTGCTCTTGTGATTATCTGGCTTACTTTACAGTTTCATGACAAGTGGTTATTGTTATTCATAACTTTATGGAGAAGGACACACTTATTACTGTGACTGGTTTACTTTAAAAAAGATTTAAAAGAATCATTTCTATTTTGTCCTGACAGCAGAAAACAAAGCAAAACACACAGTACACCTCTTTATAAGGTTTAAATGTGTAAAATAGAACTTAATTCACTTATGTCTAATTCTATTGTATTTTTTTTGGTAAAATATCTATGATATAAATCAAGGTATTACCATCTGATGTTTCAGTAATATCACAGAACATTTTGTAACAGAGAAACTGCCTTGATATAACAATTTACAACAATTTATTGAGGTTACCATAGGTTTTATTTTTATTTGTTTGAGGCAATTTCTCTTTATCAGGGGAAGTTGGGAAACAAATGGCATGGGTATCTATCAAAAGTTGAACATAAATCATTTATTGAACAATTATTATATATTTACATTAACAATATGTAATTATAGCACATAGAATTAAAAAATAAATAAAAACTAATGATAAAAATAGCATCACATAATGTTGTCATATTTGTACTTTTAAAAATCATTATTTTAATCTTGTATTTCATATTAGGAGTGTAAATTCATTTATTATAACTGACAGGTGTGATGATCAGTGGGTTGGAGTTTTTACGTCCATAGATGAAGGATGGGCTAAAAAATGGATAGAGTTTTTCAGTGAAAGACTGAGCAGTGAAAGAGTAGATATGAGAGCTGGACTCCACATCATAAAAGCAGACCAGACCCTCCTCATAATCCACAAACACACCGACCCGC